TGGCCAGTTAGCTCACTTGGGAGAGCGTGGTGCTGACAACATCAAGTCAAGGGTTAAGATCCACTTACCGGTCATCTTTTAAAAAGAAAAGTAAAAAAAGTTTCCATCTTCATCAGAGAAAACATTTTCCCCCAGTGATAGGTTAAATGTCTATGACAACATCTGCCATTTGCTCAAAGTTCTGCCCTGTTAGATTACCACTGCATTCGTAAGAACCAGGGAAAAGGCATTTCCTCATCAGAAGAGATTCTCTGACTAATTTTTCACTACTCAGAAATGTGGATCCAGAATAACATATCAAGAACAAGAAAGTACCAACATTTCCCATGTGGTTTTCAAAACAGATGGCATGATTCTGAGCAGTGATCACTCGTGCAGATCGCCCATCTCTGCGACAGAGGTGATCGTTTACAGTCCAGTGGTGCAAAGCAAAAAGACACCCACGAGCTCATTACATAATTCTCAGTAGCACGAGGCCAAGTGTGTATCTGCTCTGGGGGAACGGTCGGAGGCTCTGACAGGCGGGCCAAGGCGGTCCCGACAATGTTTTGACAGAGTGTGCGCTAGAGGTTGTTTGTTTGGAAGAAGACTGACTGGCTTTTCTCCCCTCCTCTCTCTCTTTCTTTTTCTTTCCTTTTTTTTCTTTTAAACACTCTGGCATGATACTGAATGACTTTGTTTTTAAGCTGCCTTAGACTTGTTTTGTGAAGAAAAAGCCCGAGTATTCTTTCCCTGTAGGACACAAGTTGTTATTTTTGGAGCAGAGGTTCTTAGCCTGATCTCTGTCTAAATCAATTTCTGTTCTTGGTGAGGTTGTGGTCTGTGACGGCTGCAAGTGTCCTGGTGGAGGAAAGCTTCCTGGCTTCATGGAGGAGTGTGGGCAAAGGCATCGAGGGGCCACGCCTGAAACATCACTGCTCTTGGTCTCCACCCAAAGGCTGCTTGGTCTTCAGAGTCCCCTCATTAGATTGAGCCCTTGGAACAGTCATGACCACATGTCCTGGAGTGGCATGCTTTCTGTCTCGGAGGTCATGGAAAATTCTTGTCTCATTCAGAGCCCAGACACTATCGCTTCTTGGCCTTTTGGCTAAGATCAAGTGCAGAGCCCAGACACTCCATGCTGACTCCCTCATTCCTCTAGTTCAGGAACATGGCTTTTTCTCCTTAGATCACTTCACGGTACGTTTTGGGTTAAGATCATCCCCCCACCCCCTTTTTTTTAACCCAAGGTCACAGACTCCTTAGAGCTAAGCATGCCAGAGCTGAAGGATTTCTGCAGGCTACTCAGGGTGCATAAGGCATGGCACAGCAGAGCCACAGACTGCTCTGAGGGCCGCGACTCAACTCTCAGAGTATGCCCTTCTGTACCTACTCTGTGTTAGGCTGCGGGACACAAGAGCAAACCTCTCCATCTTCACACAGTTCCCTTCCTGACCTGTTATTCCTAGGAGCTGGCATAGCCTGAGCCTGGGAGGAAACATATGATCAGAGCAGATTAAAATACTGCTGTCATTACAGGTAAGATACCAACTTAACCACTCCTCCTTTCCTGGGAAAGTGTGTAGCGACTGTTCAGGGAACAGGTGTGTGAAGTCCCCTGATCACCGGGCTAAGTGGGAGCCAGGGGAGGGGGCGGTAGACCCGGCAGGTGTCCCAGTCGGCTTTTGCCTTGCGGGTGGCAGCGTGACCTGTCAGGTGGCCGTCCCAGGCCAGCTATACATAGCCAGCCAAAGCTTCTTACAAGAAACCTCTTTCTGCACGCTGCACCGTTGTCACCCGCAGGCCAGAGACTCGCCGTAAAGCCCCTGTCAGTTACTCAGCCTTAGAGAGACCAGCAAGCCGGCCACCAGCCCTGCCAGTCCCCGCCGCAGCCCTCCATCTGCTCAGCCATGGTCGACATGGGGGGCCTGGACAACCTGATCGCCAACACGGCCTACCTGCAGGCCCGCAAGAGCTCGGAGGGCGACACCCGGGAGCTGCAGCGGCGGCGCCGGAGCCTGGCGCTCCCCGGGCCGCAGAGCTGCTCCGAGCTGCGCCA